TTAAATTTGAATTAAATATAGTACAGTTAATTCTATTGTTTTAGTTAAATTAACGACATAGAATAGAAGCAATGACGACCTAGAATAGGGGATGATTGAAAATGATTCGATATAATTTGTAATTACAAATTTAACAGTATAGCATGATTATTACTTTAATACAGTAACATTTCTTATAACAAGGAATTTACAAAAAGTATATAAATATTTACAAATAAATTGTAAATTTAATTCAATATTTATTCTTATTTTTTGCGCATCAAATAAAGACTATTCTTTTCTATTGAGAAAAAAAAAATATTTGCAGATTTGCAGATTTTGCTCAAGTCTCTAAAAAGTTAATTAGATACAGAAAATAATTTTGTTATATCAAAATAATTATATAGAAAGCTCAAGTAGTTAGAATGTTAAAATTTTATGCATTGTCATCAACGTTTCGACGATTTCAACGTTCTACATAATTATTTTTACGATTCAATACAATTACTTTCAGATCTGTATCTAACTAAATTTTTAGATACTTTAGAAAATCGTTTCTTTCTGTATATATTTGTTACATTTGTATATGTAAAATGGCTTATCTTGGAAAGGCTAAGGGTTAACGAAATCTCGCAGCCGCCGCTGTGATGAAAATTGAAATTCTCGGAGGATAGTACCTACCTATGAAAGGATTAGTCGGCAAACCCCAGAGGAGGTTGAAACGAGGGGGTTTCGAGCACCGAGAAGGCAGGTAATCGAACCAAAACTAAATCACAACTACCAACTAATTCCGTGAAGTTTGGAACGTCACAAGGTTGGAATGTCTTGGATTGATATCATAGTGGACGGCATCGCGACCAAAAAACAAGATTGCTACCGTAAGTAAGAGGAAAAAAAGAAGAAAGTAGTAGATAAAAAATGGGAATGTTACACTAACTCCGAACCTTGCAATAATAGGCGTAAAATAAATGTAACTCTTTTACAACATATCTTTCATGATAAATTTATAATAGCAATTAATGACAAATTAATTAATTAATATCAATAGCTATTATATTAATATAATAAACCAATTTGAATCATACAATTTGCTAATTGTTAACCCCATTGGTATATGATAACAATACAATTATTTTTAATAATTTTGAAAATAATTTTTATTAGAATATGCAACAATATAAATAATAAAATTTAAAAAATTGATTTTGAAGTATATATAGTTTTCTTAGGCATACACAAATATATTATACAGCAAGTAGATCGTGATTCATAAGAGAAACCTTACATTAAATTATCAAGTATAGATGAACTGAAAGATGAAGGGTATTGACGTAAGAAAGAATAGCACAATAATCGCATACAAAGCATAATATAACAAAAAAATTACATGACAAAAGAGATTTTACGCGAGGCAGAGGAAAATAAAAAATTTAAAAGAAAAAAAGAACAAAAGAAAAAGGAAGAAAATACTTTGATCGCGTTGGGTGAAGTCGTATAATTTATGCGTTCAATACTTACACCGAAAGAGGGAGAGAGAGGGGGGAGGGAGGGAGGGAGGGAGGGAGAGAAAGAGAGAGAGGAGAGAGCGATCGTGGTTGAGAAAGTACCAGCGGTCTTCCTGAAAAAAATATATTAATTCCGAGTTCCTCTAAAAGTTATTGCAAAAGGCGCGGGAAACTGACGCGGCGGGTGGAACTTTTCCGCGGCGATGGAAATGACTTCGGCATAAAATATGACGGCGATGGCACCACCAGACGAGTCGCAGGTGCACCACGGGGTAGGTCACCCGTGATCGCTGCACTCGTCGGCTATTTTAATTCGGGTCGGGAGGAAAAGGGCGGCGAGCTCATTTCCCATGCCTACGGATGGATCTAGAGGACTTCCATAGGAGTGTTTATCGAGGTGGAAAATTAAATTTCCAAATATATAAATTTTATCGCGATCGAAGGATTGACGATACAAAGCTAAACTAACGCTAAACATCTTGAAATTGGATTTTAATGAGCGTACAATTAACAATCTTTTTACCTTTTAATTCTGTAATCTTTCGTTAACGCTTTTTTTAATTCATAATACTAACGCTTCTTAAATTTATAGGTATTAACGCTTTTTTGTATACATTTACAGCATTATTGCATTTATTCTTTAACATATTTTAGATGATAGAAATTTTTTTGCAATAATTCCATAATTATTCAATTTGCTAATTCTTTTGAAAACCCATTTATTTGTATCTCTATGCTCAACTTTTACTATACATTATATGCTATATCAAGCAAGTATTACAATTCTATTATCGTTTTCTAGTCTAATATTTCCATATTGAAATTATTAACAGATGTTGTTTACATTTCCGCAAATACTATTACTACTATAGTTATTAATATCGTTCGTTATGTAGCACAAATTAATATGTTACTGCAATTAGCTTTATTTCCTTTTCATACATAATTACAATCAAAATTAATCTTTATCCAAATCCCGTATTTCGCGTCGAAAACACATGTAATTAAACCCTTTAACTGTGGAAAGTAAACTAGTGGTCTCATGTTTTCATAAAATTGCGATTTTTGTAGTGCAAAAAAGAGCTTAACAAACTGTGAAAGAGTTTAAACACTTCCATTAGCTGTAGCTACATTTAAATGGTATTTCTGGTCGAATAAACGAAATAAATTGGCAATAAATAAATCTTTTGAATCATTATTTTCTGTCCTCTCGTAAAAGCACTCATAAAAGATACTTGATTTTCGATAAAATTGCCAAACTATATCCATAATCACTTCATTTTCCAAATGTAAAGTATTATTACAGTATACTATTTGTATTACAAAAGTATTTTATTTTAAAGGGAAAACGTCTTATTAATCTTCACAATAATTTTGAAATTTATTATGTTAAATAAACTTTCATATATACTTGTTAAAAAAAAGTTATAATACTATAATTATATCGCAATTATCGTATTTTTTTAATGTACATATTAATGTACAAATTTAATACATATATTTTTAATAATTTATAAATTATAGAGTGTCTATATAAATATATGTATTTATATTTAGTTAATTAAATTAAATTTAATTTATTGCATATGAACAAGTTTTATAAAGTCACATATTAAAAATGAGAATGTGAATACGCAAATGGTGACACATCAGTATGGCTACTGTTATAATGCCTATTAAAATAACTATGATTACGTGAAATCAGAAAAAAAACAAAACAATAAAAAATAAATGCATATAACACACAAGACATATACATTTATACATTATATAAGTAAAGATCTATAGTTTATAGATAATCAATTCTTGTTGCTAATTCTGTAATTAAATTTTAAATAATGTCCATTATTTATAATCACATTTCAATACTTTATTATAATGTGCATCTGTAGTCTCGAAATGCACGTAGTTTTGACCGATAGCGAGCAATTCTGTTTGTTACTGAGTAAATGTATACGCTTGAAACGAGAGTGATAAGTTTTCGGCTGGGAGAGAAGAAGTGCGAGAGAGGAAGAAAGAGTACAAGGAATGAAAATGATTCCGGCATGAAGTACGACGGTGATGTCGGCGACGCGCGACGCCACGTTTTTCCTGAATGAATTCGGTCCCGTTTATTTTGCTTATTCGATTTCTCCGACGAAAACACGTCTATCCGTCTTTAGTCGGTCGGCCTTAGGTAGGTGCGGAGGAAGAGATATTTTGGCTCTGAAACATATCCCGTCTGCTGGAGGCTGTTTACGTCTCTCGCATTCGCGTCCTCGTAAGTTCGCGATCTGCTTCGTCGGACTCGATTACGAATGAATCTGTCGTCATTTTCGACATAGTATCTTAAGCCCCTTTTTCTCAACTGGAACGCGCGATATTATACGTATTTAAAATAAAAATTTTCAAATTATAATATGTTAAATCACTTTCGTATAGAGTGCTGCCAATTTAATAAAATTTCTAGATTTTTCAAAAATTTAGAGATTTTTCTTTTTAGCGGGAAATGTTTTTGGGGCTACCAAAAGTTTAGAAGAATTTCCGAATGACTTTTAGAAAGAAAAATACAAAAAAGCTTAAATTACAGTTAAAATATTTAGAAAGTAGCAGTAAGAAGGATAACTTTGGAACAGACTTGGCAAGAATGCTTTTGTAGAACTTGATAATTAGTTTAGTGTTAATTATTTCGGTTCACTGTCCTCTCTGAAATGACGACCGATGATTATTAGTGACAGCGTGTTTTGCGGACACAAAATAATTTTCAGCATCATTGCATCGTTTTAAAGACTTACGTCATCGTGCAATTGCATGAAATGGGAAAGCATCCAACAAGTTTTTTTTTGTCCCTTATCGTTTCGCAATAATTCTTTCCTGCGTCATGGCATGCGAAGTGGCAAAATCACGATTCGCAATCCTATCGCAAAATAATATAGCTTGTCTTTTTCCGCCAGCTATAAACGCGTACGAGTGATTTTTTTATATGAAAAAATATATATTTATTAATATGAAAAGGTATATTTAAACGGCGCGGACAGAAAGTAAAATGTTTCCTATCACAGTTGACATTAATGTATTACAAATTTTTTTTGTAATATATGTACGTCGGTTTACGTAATTTTGCGATAACGTTATGTAACGTTAGCGAATGGTAAAATTAAGATTTGTGATGTTAACATTATTTTAGAATGAGAGAAAATTTTTTCATGTCAAACAAATTATTTAATTAATTGTAATTTGATATTTACTTGTAGTTTAGAATTAACAAGTTTTTTTTCGAAATTTATGCTAATATAAAATTAATATATAGATTAAATTCCCAATGAGAGATATTAGAATTAATGTGTCGTTAATTAATACGCCCATTAATGTTTGCCTTAAAATAGTGCAGAAGTTTTACTATATCGTCAAATTGCTGCTTCGGATGCTCGTGCAGAGTTTCAAAGTGTCGTGTCTCTTTAAAGTAAAAGCGACAGAGAGGCTGCGATCGGGCTCTTAATGGCCATAATAATCCGGTATTTTGAATCGCTTTTGTGATCTCGCGCTTTGGCGAAGCTCCAGAGCTATGGAAAAAAAATGAGAAAAAAACAGATGCGTTCGCTGGGCTCTGCAACAAATTTTATTAACGAATTTATTAGATATGAAAGAATTTTGGCATTTTCGTCGTAATTATTTGAGACAAAGTGTTCGTTCCTTCTCAACTGAATACAATAAATTACCCAACATTAAAATTAAAGTTTATTAGCAGCCACTATAATTAAAATCGTAATTCCGTATTTTTGAACTAAATATTTTCGAGTACGCCTATTTTGGCACGAATAAATGCCGACCTGGATCACGTCCCCTCTTTTCAAAAGGACAAATGCAAAAGTGCCGTATAAAAAAAACGTTTATTTCCATCCGACGATATCGAATTCCGCGGCACGATGCACACTCGAGAGTTTATCCGCGTAAATGTCCGTTTTTTGCTCGTATATATACCTGTAACTTCGTGCGGGCTGCTGCTGGCGTGAATGCTTTATTTTACCGAGTCAATCAATCCATCCCCCATTAACGTCCATTAACCATTTAGTTCCTAGAAAATTACTACGTCAATTTACGAATTCGAGGAGTACACAGCTCCTCAAAAATTAATTTCTTTTTTATTGTTTCTAAATAACATTATAAAATTTGAATTTAGTAACAGGTATCTCTTTTAATAAAAGCATTAAGATTAAAAATTTAATAAGATTTGCCAAAGTAAATACAAGTACTTTTTTTTTAATTATTAAATATATGATTAAAAGCGAAAAATTATTGAAATATCTTTTTCAGTAAAAAGTTAAAAATAACATAGGATTAAAAGGATTAAAAGAGATACGAACAAAGGGATCGTCGAGGATGTAATAAAAAAACGTCCATCCTTGGCCTGCTTCCGGTGGTAAAGCAGGGCACGTCGACTAGTTCACCCTGTTTTCGGTGTTTCGCAAACTTTTTGGCCGCGCAATTCGCGCGTTCCCCCGAGCTACTGCGAGACAAACAGCATTAACTTCTCTCGCGACGCTCTCGAATAAAGTTACATAGATTTGTCACAAGACAAAAAGCGAGCACGTTCCGCCCCCACGACCGAGGGTGGCTTCTAGGTTTCTTATACGGGTTTCCTAGACGCCTGAAAAGCGGCTTCCTTCGGGCCCTTTATGTTTTCCTCTCTTGCGTTTCGCCAACTTCCTACTGCGGTTTCCGCTTCTTCCTGCATATAGGAAGTTTCAAAAAATCTACATAATATGAACTAGAAAGTATATTCTGAAGTATTTTGAAAGAGCATTTTCTTCGTCAGAATCAAAATCGAGATCCATTTATGTCTCCAAGTAACAAATAAAAAGTGAAACTTTTCTGACTTCCGTAACAGGATATGTGAGTTGACATTGCTTTAAAATATTTGTCCGTTGAAGACAATAGTTTTAAAACACGTACATACATGCATTATATAGATTTCGATGATAACGTGAATCTCGCAAAACGAAAAAATTGCAATTGTCTCTCTCACAGAAAGCAAGAAATATTTCGTGAAGATTCCCAGAAAAAATTAAAAAATTATGATATATAAAAAATATCTCATTATATAAAAAAAACGAGAAGTACTTGGAAATTGATATCTTTAACAATTGTTGTATCTTTAAAGAACGCAAAAAATATTTTTGAAAGAATTAACTTACATTAATCTCAATTCTATCAGAAGACAAAATCTTAGTACAATATTTTCTATAACTGCTGAAGATTTGTCCAATCACAAAATGTTGGAAAATGTCGCAAATAAAATTCATTGTTAGATATTCGAAAAAAACAAATTATTGAATTATTCCGCTGCATGTTTTTTAATTACAAAAGTTAAAAAGTTTCTCATGCGATTATAAATACAAATCGAATATTTGAAAAGTATTGTTGTATTCCAGCAATATATGTATTACGGAAGCTCTTTTAGATGTCAGAAGTCAAGAAATTCCTAAATAACGTCTAGATATCTAAAAATAATTCTAGAGAAGCCTGCATGGGAATGCGTTCAATCTAGTAACAAGCGAATTCTTGCCGGCTTGAAAGATTGCAAGTGAAACGTTCGTGACTTTAAAGGGGATAAAAGTAATTTCGGGGCATGATTCGATGTAAGTAAATATCATCCCTTCGGCCGCGCATAGAATTCCAAAGTGGCATTGGAAATCTCTTATGGGTACCCGCACTATCGCCATGGTCTTCTCTATTCGCGAAAAAGCGCCGGCGGCTGTTTCAATGCCACAAGAATAAAATTGCAACAAGAGATTGCAGAGGAGGGGTGGAGAAAAGAACGTATTTGAAAAAAGAAAAAAGAAAGAGATAGGATGTATGCGTGTGTCATCTTTCGTAAGAAAAGAGGGTGTATTTAGCATGTAAATTACTTGCGTGTCGAGTTTAAGAATGTGATTTTTCTTTGGACATCGAGGAGCCCGTAACGAAACCGTGGAAAATCGTGAAAGACCATGCTCACTCTAAGCGAGATGGGATTTCACTTTTTTCTGTTCTAAATTAACAACGATAATTAAATTGCGATAATTAAGTTGCAAAGCCGCAACTCACGGTCGTTTCTTTTCCGAGGGTTTCCCGCGGTTTTTTCTTTTATCAGCGCGAGATGAGATCCAACCGAATTCTTTTGAGATATAGAAAAGAGTCAGTGCGCGGCTTTCGACCTGCGCCGTGTATCTCAGCCGGGGTTACTTCGAGTCTTCGCCATTAGTACGCAAGTAAAGGCTATTTTCAACGACGAACTCGTAACCCGATACACGAGCGGCGGGGGCTGTGGCTCCTCGGCTAAGGGAAAGCTCCCCGTCTTCCTCTCTCCCCTCGGTGAACGAAGGAAATGACGTTCTCTTTAATTATTCTCAGCGATGTGCCGCATCCTAAAATCATTAAATTGCTTCGGCGATAGATGCAAGGGTGTATCAAGTGTCGAGTGGTTCCTTGACAAAAATTTCAAGTATAAATTTTCCTTTGGAATAAATTCTATCAGACATCATTCTTTTCACAACTTATCCCATGTTAGACACGTTAATTAATAAGTTTTAGATTAAAATTCTGATAAAGTTAAAACTAACGTGCAGAATAAGATTTTATTCGAAGGATGAGTTATTTAAAACATGAATTATTCAACAAGAACTCTCGAAAGATTTTGTACGTTTTCAATATTCATTCTGCCTTTCGGGTGAAAATTAATAATATTATTTAAAAATTATTTAAAAAGTAATAATATTATATATTGTATTTTGCAATTTTATTTTTCTATATTTTTCAAAGAAAAAAAGATCTCTTTTTTATTTTTAGACATTATTTTTGGTTAAAAGATGCGCTTCGCTTTATCGTTTCATTTATCAAATTTCAGGATTATAACTTAAGTATTTAACTTATATAACTACTTATTCAAGTGTGGATTTTGTTCATTTCAAATAATCGGCGAGAGTAAAGTCTGAAAGAATAGCAATGTTTTCTCGTTTGCTTTTCTTTTTGCGTCTTTCATAGTCATCTCTGTCATGACGCTGTCGCCGACGACGAAGACAACGACGACGACTAAGACAACGACGACGACGATGACGACGCCCAAAAATAGGGACGGCATTAGCGTGTAGACTCGTTTCGTATGGCTCACCGGACTGCGTCGACTTCGCGGATATGCAACGTCTTCGGCTGCCAGTAATTTTAGACGCCGACGAGTCGGCCGTCGCGACCAAGTTCCTCGTTTCCGAAAGTCGCCCGGTAAAAGTGACACCGTAAGTTTATGTCGTGCATGCGAGATATGCAGCTCGAATGCTCCTATAAACTTCTCCCTGGGAAAAATGGAATTCCGAATTCACCGAGGAATCTGTCGTTGACAGACGTGCAAGCAGCTAATGTTGCGAGATAAGTTGGATATTTAACTTACGCGAGGATTTACGAGCATCTCTGCAAACTAGACACGGAGCAAGATGTGTTGTAATGTGTCGGAAAGCTTATAGGTGACAAGTTTCTAATTATCGCTGTCCGTTAATATTTCATATTAATATCTCAGTGGCGCCAAATCTATTACAAATTTGTCTGCAAGAATGTAAAATTATTACGTACTTGAGAAGTCTGGTAATTATCAAATGATAGAAATCCATCTTGGCATTTCTAATAAAATACAAAAGCTTATTGGAAAATTATTCTTGATGAGATCGGCATTTTATTTAACACTGAGTATATACACTCAAAGAAAAAAATATATGATGGCAACTATATAAAGGTAACAACTATACAAATGTTATATGTATTGTAGAATTAATGTACTCATTAATGTATTATCCCTTACAGAAATCTAATATTAACTAATATTAAAAGACAGTAATTAATTATTTATTTCAAGTGTTAAAAGTTCGATATTTCTAATTAAAATAATTAACTTAAAATAATTAATTACTGTCTTTCAGTAATAAATTGGGCAGTATTATATTTCTGTAAAGGAATGCAACTATCAAATATTTATATTCAACCGTAAAAAGAATATGAGCTATTGTGTTGACATAGAGCTCATATTTTTTGTGCGTGAGTATAATTTATTCAACTACGTATACACATTAATTCTACCATATAAAACTTGTATAGTTGTTTATACTTGCTACCACGTTTTTCTCTGGGCGTAAAATTTATAGAATCCAAAGTGGGATATCAAGATAATCTTAAAATAAGAATTATTATAACGTTTTTCTCTGCCGTCCTGCATCGCGAAAATTGGACTCGCGCCACTTGGGAGTCGAGGACTCGCAACGTCGCTCCGGTGATGCTGTTTGTCAGGATGTATTTCGGTATCACATCATCAACAGCATTCTTGGCCGAATTGCAACGATGTATGCGAAGCATGATGATACGGGGACAATATATCACAAATAGTGTGACCAAGTTTGCGCTAATCCCATAGCTTAAGTCTCATTCATGAGAGTTAAGTCTGATTTCCACGCGATGTTCCGCGTTTCGTTGGCAAAGCTCGAGGAGAGTTTGCGCTATACTAGAAGATTCATCAGTTGTTTAATGCGAGAGGTAAGTGATTACAAGGTGATCGATTGGTGATAAACAACGACAACGTAAAGTAAAATTGAAATTAATCGTCGCGCTGCGTGCTATACTCAAATCGTAGAATCGCTGGCCGCACGCCAGCGGCCATTATCGTCGCGCATATCTTTCTATAAATAATATCACGAGATATATAATCCTGTAATTCAGCCCCCGTGCATTTACGACACTGTATTTATCATCGTTGTTAATGGTTGCCCACGATCCGGACTTAACCTGCGAGAGTACATTGTCATTGACGTTGATCGTTGCTGATAACGTGTTAACGATTGATGATGCGACAGTATCTCGAGAATAACGTCGGCAACTTTGTTTTTATATGAGGAGACCCATCGGAATTTAGACGTCTATTTGGTCGCCAATGGCAGCTGCCAAATGTTCCACCTCCGAAATATCGCGGCATATCGTTACGTCAGATAGCCCGATGGTAGCTAAGTGCAGTCGGTGACGACAAATTGAAGAATTAACATATCAACAGCTGTTGACGTGATATCTTTAAAAAGTCACTTTTTGATGAAGAAGTCTTTAGATGTCAAATACGATAGCGCTGTTGGAAAATTTCAATCACGAAGGCATTTGTATAAGAAACATGAAAAATATTAAAGTATATATTTCTTAAGTAAATAAAACAATATTTCAAAATGTGGTTTTCTTTGAGATTTTCATTTCTGTCGCTTACAACTTTTCTTGTGTCAGTCATGTCTTCAATTACGGGAGGTAAAAATATTGAGTTACGCGCGGGATGTTTCATCAAAGAGAAATTCATAAAACTAATCGCTTTTCTCTTTTGCAGGAATTTTTAATCTTGTAAATTAGTTATAAAACGAAACTCTGATAAAAAGAACGCTTTTATAAGATTTTTAACTTTACCAAAGACTTGAGAGAATGAATAGGAAATCCTAAGAAATTAATATTGTGTCATACAACGAAGCTTTCCACTCCGTTCTGAATGTCCACCTTTGGTTTGTGTGTCTACTAAGAGACATGAGGGCTCACGTGCACGCTTTTGTACAGTTTCGAAGTAGAAAAGAACAGAGAAGAGCACGAAGATGAAGAAGATGAAGAGTAGGAGGGGGAGAAGAAGAAGAAGATGATGATGAAAAAGGAGGAGGAGGAGAGAAATGAGACAGAGGCCTGGGTAAGTTATCACTCGAGTCTGGACCAGGAATAGTCACACCATGTGGTGGCAGCCGTGGGACTGACTATTTTCGGGTAAAGACAAATTTGGCGCGGCGAAGCGCTACGCGAGGGAGCCGAGAAGCTGAGCCGAGCCGAGCCGAGCCGTCGTGTGGTAGCCGTCTCGAGTGTAAGCTTACATCTGCACACGACGAGGGGGGTGTCGGCTCGTCGTCACTCGAGAGGAGAGGCCAATGGGATCTGTGCAGCCATTTTTAGAGGGCTCGTTCCAAAGCGATCGTGCTCGAGGCTTTGGCAGCATTCAGTCCGAAGCGGTCATCCGGGTTGGCAGGATTTGAAGTCTCGAGGAAATCAGCCCGAGAAACTCTCTCTCTCTCTCTCTCTCTCTCTCTCTCTCTCTCAGCCATTTAGTAATAATTTCAGAAGAAATCAGGTGTTAAGTCAAGAGGACCTTTCGGGTACGATTGAATACAGGCGCTCCCAGCGCGCCAGGTATTCCTCGTTGAAGAGTGTTTTAGGATCTTTCAGGATGAATTACGTAACAGCGGTGTATTCGCGAAACGAAATTGTTGCGAGAAGTGTCGTATTGAAAAATTGTTCGGATCCAGCAGTCTCAGTTGGAGTAAAGAAGAGAGGATCTTTGAGAGCACATCGGCATTCGGACGACCTAAGCTTGTAATACCGGGCGACCGTTCCGTGCTTCCTTACTTCCCATAGTGAATGTGACGTATGGAATGTAAAGAAGTATGGAGCTGCGTCCTGGTGAATCGTCGGGAGACGATAGTCGTCTTTATTGAAGAATCGAGAGATTTCCAGATTTATCGTCGATGACGAAAACGGAGACTTGTGACGAACGAAAAGGCAAGGATAAGAATAAGAACTGGAAGGATAACGACGGAGCAGGATAATAGTGCCGCGTAAAAGAGTCAGTAACAAATGGTGTAAAGATAAAATTTGCGGTCTTGCGTCTTCTGCGATGCAAATCTTGGGAGCAGCCAGCCGCCAGAAATAGATTGCTTTCGCGTAACCGACGCCGATATGGCCCAGGCATCATTCCACGTACATATGGTCTTCCGCGGCCTCTATTTATGGCTTTGGTGCCGCTACCATGTGGTCACCACTTTTATTATCCTCTCACAAGTTCTTCGTCTTAGCGCGATGACAGAGGACTCGTATCTCTTCATATCTTTCCTCTCATATTATTCTAGTTGATAACTATAATTAATTATTACTAGCTATTATAGTAGTTTATCTTTTTGCAAAATTACCTTTTACATTAGCAATTAATCGCTAATTCAGATTTTTATTCATTTCCACAGATTTTCAATCGTTCGATTTGATTGCAGCGGCGAGGAAGGCGAGACACGGAAGAAAATGGGTGAGCGAGCGAGGAAGAAGACGCATGCGGCTGGATGCTGTTTTCGAGCCCGAAATAGGACCCAAGCACAACCGCAGCCATGTTTCCAGAAATAAGTTCTCCGGTTACAGAATCTATTTCCGGTGCGCGGGCCGCCGACCGGTGCCCGATTGCACGACGATCGGTGACGTATTCGGCTGCAGGTGTAACCTGTAACTCACGTTGCAGGATCGTACACGCGATATTTGGTTTTGGTGTCCGGAAAAAAGATTCAGTGTTGGTCGTAACGTTGTAACAATAGTCGGCCAGTGACGTCAGTGATTACGGTGAGATCGACTATGGTTCACGTAATGAGAACGAGCGTATTCTGATCGTCGCAAGCGCACCGTGTAAATAACGCGATTATAGGTGAATGTGAAGTTACAATTTGCCTTGTAATAATGAGACTATTATTATTAAGGCTGTTATTATTAAATATTTGAAGAATTATTCCTTATTATTTACCGAATGCTTTAATTATTATGTACATATTGTAAGTATCATTAAATTTTGCTGTTTCATTTTTCTGATGTTGATGTATTTATATATATATATTTTTTAGAGAAAGAGAGCGTTGTTACATAGATGTATTTCCGATAATTTCCGATAATCTTCTTACATCATTTGTCGATTATTCTGTGTACTTTGTGCAACGTTCGGTCTCACGAATTTTGGCGAACAATGCCGCGATTTGATTCGGGGTTCATTGGGTAGTACATTACGTTTCCATAGATGTGCACGAATTTATCGACAGTAAAATAGATTTGCGCTTCTCGTGGCAGTAATGCTCTTGATTAAGCCGAATGAATTACGCTGATATTATTGCCGTGAAATAATAATATTATTCCTGGTATTATCGGCTAATGCCGCCATTTGCATTAACGTCGGCACCTGCTAATTGGCATCGCCCGTCGCATTTTGTCTATTTGCCGTACGTGTTACACGAGTAGCCTGATTATGCTAATCACCGTCGAGTAATAACGCATTTAAACGAATGTACTGAATTTGCTAAAAGAGATTCTCAAAAAAAAAAAAGACTCTTTTTCACACAGTTTCCTCCATATCTATATAAATATCCTAATTTAAAGTCAATTAGAAATCTGGGGAATTGCTTGTAAATTTTCAAGGATTAGAAAGTTACCTTTCATTTCTGTAAGAGACCTTTCATTTCTGTTAGAGACTATAATTGTTAAAGATCAACGTTTACCTGAGAGTTGAACTTGGAACGCGCACCAGTCACCCCAAAGACGTCATCAAGTTGCCGAGGATTGGGAGGCAGTAGAGAGGATTTAGAGAGCGGATTATGCGACGTTTCGCGATAATCACGGATAGCTCGGATGCAACCTTGGCACGTTTTCGATAGATCGATAACGCAACATGACAGAGACGAATCGGTGGTCAAAAGTCCCGGGAGAAGGAACCCGTTGGCTACGCAGCATCCAGCAGTGGCTACGAGAGTCGAATGACAGAATCGCGCAGGGTATTGCCTGTTCGGTACGATCGTCACGTTTACCGCGACAATTTATGACGATTGGAATAGCGACCGTTACGCGTTCACGCGATACGGCCGGACTGCAGGAAGACTCCAGTGCGCGACACCTTATCAAACTGGTTCAATTAGTGGCTAGCGTGGGTGAGGAGAGAGAAAGAGAAAGAGAGGGAGGAGACGAAGGGATTAGTAATGCCCTCGTTCTCTTTAATTTTAATTTTTGAAATCTCTATTGCGAAAGGGAGAAATATTATTGCATTTTTCTTCAAAAGTACTAAGGTATATTCTCGCTTTTCATAATGTTATCATTAAAAATAATCTCTGATCTATATATTATGCCGTTGAAATTATTTTAGTTTAATTGAAATCTAAAATAAAAGAGACAAAAAGAAAAAAGTTTAATTTTACCGTAAGTCATTGTCTACTTTTATGATTTAATATACGAAATTTTTTACCAATTCTTATTCTGAATAAGCCGAAGAAACAACAGACGAAGAAAATATCGATTGGAATATCCTATTTATCATATAATAAGTGTAGCACTTTTCCAAATAAAAAAAATCTCTAATTATAAGACATTATCTTTTCAATGAAAGGTTTCAATAATTTAGATTTCAGTATGTAGGCTTTGTTAGAGTCACGTTTAATCGGGTTTCCGAGAGAACATTACCTTATCCCCACGAGAATGTTCCGTAACAGGCGGTATTTAGGGATACAACGAGAAAGGACGCGAATAGGTGGACGCCGTTGAGATTGTACTAATTAAGTCCCACGTCCCATTAATTGTCAGCGTTCCTGTCTTGTCAGTGACCACCGTCCGTCGTTGCGGCTGCGAACACTGGTAGTTAACCAAATTTCGATATCGACATGTTTCATTCCGTGAACAAGTCTCTCTTCCTCGTCCTTCGCTCGAATGGCCATTTACTAGATCCTCCAAGCTGGACGTACATATATTCAAGTATATGAAGTCTTGTAAGTTATAATTCTTATTTGAGTAAAATTATTAAAAAGTTTTCCAGAATCTGTGAATTCTTAGGAGTAATTTAACTAAGTTTAAGTATTAACAATCTTTTACACAACAAGAGTTTTTTTTAAATAAGAAAAATATATTATATATTCGCTTGAAACGGAGATTTAGTGCTCTAATACATATTTCTTGTGTAAATTTATATATATTCTGATTCTGTATATCGCGCGTCGAAATGGGTTTTCTATACGGCCGGTATAGTTAGATCTTATATTCAAGATCGTCTTAAATTCAAGATCTTAAGTACAGTCTTAAGAAGTTACGAACCAATCAGAAGGCCGTATTACCATCTTAAGACATTATAAATAAATACGCGTGATAATATGTATAGTGTTGCTCACAAATCTGTTTCACAGTTTAGGTAAATTTAATTTTTCAAAAGTTGGTCCTCTTCTATGTTAGGATTATGTGAATGTCAGTGTTTCGACAAAATGTCGCAGACATTAAACTACTAATGTCGGATCACCTTCGCGAATTTCAAAGATATTCCCAAACCAGACTTTCGGAAACTCCTACAGGAAGAATCGCCCGCGCCGCGTTCGTTTATCAAAGTCAACGGATGGATGATCTCCAGATTGAGTCACGGAACGCGTTTTCTCGTCGAGATTATCTTGCACGCGTCCGAAAAAACCGGCCCACTGCGGTATTACGAGGGCGACGATAAAATGTGCAAACTTGAGATGCACGTCGCGCGCATCGCGATAGTTTCCTCTCACCCTCCTTTTTTTTTGCATACGTCCGTTCAATTTTCGTCGTTTTCAATGGGAGCTCTCGATGCTCGCTCGATAAATCTATCTAGACGAGAGAATATATCCACGCGCTTGCCAGTTTCCGCACGTAAGCGAAACGTCAGCTTTCCTAGTTTCTTGGAGCCGAGCCGCCGTCTAACTCTCCAAGCTTACCTCCTCGGTCCTCTCTCTAGCTATCCTTTGATTCTTCGATATATCTTACCATCTCGAGACGCGTTCGCAAGGACACTCTGATTATTCGTCGAATGAGTTAGTTCTTCGGAATACCGAATCATAAAGTGTAATTTGTTCCATAAATTAGTGACAAAACATCCTCTTTAATAACTATGTGTAATATTATTATGAATATACGATTTTAAGAATTTGAGATACATAAAATATTTTATACGTAGAATAAAAATTCCATTAACCATCTTTAACACTTTCCTCGTCATTAATTGTATCGATTTCACGATTACACTGTATGGGATTTCAAATGAGAGGCGACGATGTCACAATTAAATCGTTCGATAGGGCGTTCGATGGAATCTCAAAGACTGCAAGCGGCTCACGAAGCGGCGCTTCGACACCGATTGAAACTCGGCCCTCCGGGTTGGAGGCGTTGAGTGCACTTCTCGAGGCATGACACGAATAGCCGAGCGGCTCGAGGCGCGCGTTTGAACTTTTAAAGTAAGCGCAGCTCTTCCTGCGGCGGCCGCCAACGTTTCGGCAGGACGATCACGCACGGCCACCCGTTCAACTTCGCCGACTAATCAGAAAAATCCACACTCCACCGAGCTTATTGAATTGTCTTGGCCCGGGCCAACCGGATTCAACCCTACTGTATCCCTTGTTCCCCTCCGAGGAAAAAAAGACGATCCTGTCTGTCTCCGTAATCGCCCTGGTCAGAATTCCTTTCGCGCGTCTCCCTTTATCTGTATACCTGCTACTCTCATCATCTTTTATTAATTGTTTTGAAAATTTGTTTAAGATTTAAGATTTTATCGATGTAACAAAACACACGCCGATCTGCTGAAAAATATAAACTTCTTTAAAAATAAAAATAAACGCCTTGATATAATACTTTGCATATAATACATTATCAATAATTATATTAATTTGCCCAACTACACGAGGCAAAGATTAATAGTATTATTATTGTTATTGTATCCTCTTTTAATTTTTGATTGCATATTTTCTTCGTTCTCATTCTTCTTGTTCTCTTATTTTTACAAGGCTTATTCCAGAACAACAATAAATACTTTCAAATGTTATTACTATTATGCTTACTATTATGCATACTTTTTTCCTGCAGTTTTTATCCCGGTAATATCTCAGAGCGAATGCCCCGAATGGCTCTCGATGAATTATAACGACGCATAAGGATCAATGACGGTGGCTCGTATGAATCTTATATTCACACCCTCGTTCGCAGTCTTCGGCTCGCGACCCATATTTTATCATGCTCAGCCTTCGTAATCGATGCATCCGATAACAAAGTGGTGCGCGATTCGTTCTCCCTCTTATCCATCCTTTTCATAAGACAAAAAGTGACAGGGTAAGTTTGTCGCGTGGTACAATTTTTATAGCGACAGTTTATTCTTCCCCATACTTTGTTTTATTGTGATGTACCTCGATTTTTCTTCAGCGACAATTATATAACTAGTACGTTATTCTTCTTTGAGATTAACTATAATTCGTTGGATATTAAAGAATATAAAGGTTTAAATCTACTCATATTTATTTTCATTTTAATAATTTATCAAAACTGATACATATCTGATTCGTACATCAAATTTACCAGAATACGATTTTAAATTTTGATGCAAACCTTACGAGGTATCGTTTATAGTGTCGCTCTTCTAGGCTTAATACGATACAAAATTGCAGCCTGGAAAATCTCTCAAAATATGCGACTGATAACGAGCGTCTCGTATTAAATCCGGTATAGCGATATAATACTCTTCGCCGGTGCTTTGCGCGTAACGCAAGTTAGAGTCCCCGAATTTTTCACTAATATCGCGATAATGACTTGCCGCGACAGTCTCAATTAATTAAGGAACTTTTGTACATTCGCGGGTGCAATAGTCCCTTTAACCGACGACGTAAACTAGCTATTTCGCGCGATGTTTTGCGATATTAAAGCACAACCTCGGGAAGCTTGGTAAAAGCTTTAATTTTCAGCTGAGAATTTAATTCGAAG